TGGTGGACTATCTCTTGTGTTTGGAGATATTCATTCAAAGTAGTGTTAAAGTATTCTGTGTCATTGTCCGTTCGGAGGATTTGAATTTTTGTTGGGAATTGTGTTTGGATCATAGAATAGAAGTTTATAAATACAGTTCGAACCTTAGATTTTTCTTTTAGTAGGTAAACCCAACAGATTCGAGTATGATTGTCAATAAATGTGATGGACCATTTTTTGTGGGTTCGACTAGGAATTTGAGAAGGGCCCCATAAGTCACTATGAATAAACGTGAATGGTTTTGATGGTTTATATGTAGATTTTGGAAAGGGGACACGATGATAATTTGCTAATTCACAATTTTCACATGGAATGACAGTTATTTTATTTGGAAATATGGAAGGTAATACATGTCGTAAATATTGAAAATTAGGATGACCCATTCTATAATGCCATAACAGAATTTCACTATCTCTAGGAGTAAAAGCAGAATCACACGTTACAATTTGATTTCGTTTACTCAAATCTGCCTCTTCAAAATAGTAAAGTCCCTCACATTCTTTAGCACTGCCAATCGTCTTCCCCGATGATAAGTCCTGAAAGACATAATAAGATGGGAAAAATTTAGCCGAGCAATTGGAATGTTTTGTTAGTTGACTAATAGATAATAGGTTACAAGATAAATTTGGAAAATGTAGAACCGACTCAAGAGTTATAGAATTAGAAATTTGGATGCTCCCTTTTCCTGTCACAGGTGAGAGAGAGTCATCTGCAATTTTAACTTTGATATTGCCAGCACAAGTGGAGTATGTGGAGAAAAGATGATATGAATCCGTCATGTGATCAGATGCATCAGAGTCAATAATCCAAGGAGTTTTGGGTTGGGTGGTTGTATGCAATGCTCTCATAAAATTACCTTTTTGAGCTAGTGAACTTGATGCATTGGGTGTTTGAAAACTTGAAAACATTTTATACAGTTGCTCTATTTGCTCGGGATTGAACACATCGATCGAAGTGGAATTGTTGTTTTCTTCAACAGGGTTAATATGTGCTTGGTAGCCAGGATTTCTACTTTTTTGTTTTGATTTCCAATTCGGTGGTTTCCCATGTAAATCCCAACATGTGTCCTCTTTATGTCCCAGTTTATGGCAGTGATCACACCATGGTCGTCCCCTTTGTTTTGCTCCCGACTCATTTCCTTTAAAAGTTGGGCCCATTTCAGTAGGCCTAGCCCATTTGGATCCATTACTTGCTGGTTCAATAGAAGTTTGGGTTGACCCAATTTTTTTATGCAAGTGGGCCGCCCTAGTAGGCCCAAATCCAATAGAGATAAGGGCTGAATTCACGTCTTCCTCACCCAAACCATCCTTTCCATCTCGTAACATGACTCGCTGATAAGAACCCCTACGTGTAGTACCAAAATGATAAGACTCCTGAACCTAATTGAAGGAAATAACTAACTCACATCAATAAGAACTGAATGCAATGATTTATTGAAGAACAATAGAAAATAACAAATCCCAAGCTATTCGAGAGGCCTGGTCTCTCCCCCTTGACTCAACCAAAACGTGAATGATAATTCCCAACCCCCCAACTCTCCATTTATATGCAATCCCTACTTGACTTATTACATTTTTGACCCTACTAACTAACTATTGAACCGTCTAGATTAACAAAGATGTGGCAGCAACCATGTGAATCGGTTTGGCATCTATCATTACCCACCGCCTCAAAATCCACCTTGTCCTCAAGTTGGAAGCTATTGTTGGTCAATTCATCATGCAGCCAGGCCATTTTCCTTGCAGGCACTCTAGTCATGGTTATCATTGGAAAGGGACGTTTCAGCCTTTGAAGCGGCCAAACTTACTCAATCTAGCAATTATCACTAGTATAGTAGCCAAGGTAACGTCATAACCCGTTGCCTCTACCAACACGTTGTCGAAATTTTTAACTCTACTTATCGAAATAAGTGCGTAGTTGACTGCACGACCTTTCTTTCCTTTTCCTTGAAGATCAGCAAAAGTAAGCTTCTAAAGCGCAGCCCTTCTTTTCTGATTGTCAGCGAACGAACTATGTGGGTAGGATTTCTGGTGTTCAATTGAGGTGTCGGCTATGAGGAAGATGGATATTGAGAAACCTGTAGTAATGGGCTATATGATGGGTACGAGTTACAAGAAGGATATAAGTTGTGGCTATTAATTTTAACCTTGTTTGGGCCAAAATTGGATTGGGCTTGCTTCAGGAACTCCTTTGAGTCTTCTCCCCTTTGGGCCAATTTCATAACCAAGCCCGCAGGATCTTTTATATGAACCCTATCCCTAATTTTAAGCCCAATTTCTTCCTGTTTCTTCATCATCGTGGTCTCCATCACCTCCCGATTCATCCAGATCCACTTCTTCTCTTCTCCACAAGACCAGTCGGCCAGATTATCTTCAATGAACACCGATGTTTTCATTGGTTGACTTCGGGTTTCTACTTGCTCAGACTCCTCATGGCGAATCCTTGTAACTACACTTTCCCCTGCCATTTTGGATTTCGATAGAATCTCAGAATCAGCAGTGCTTTTAGCCGGATTGATTGCGAGTTCCTTTTGCTTCCTTTCCTCTTCTTGTCCGTCCAATTTCTTCATCATGAAATCCAATTTCTCCATCATCCTAGCCATCGCCATCTTCATTTCAGATTTCAAAGTGCCTAGACCTTCCTGTACTTCCATATGAATTCCATCCATTCTCATTTCCAAGGCTACCACTCGATCAGTAAGAGACATTTTCCCAGATCTCAACTGCTCTGATACCCTTTTGATAAGAACCCCTACGTGTAGTACCAAAATGATAAGACTCCTGAACCTAATTGAAGGAAATAACTAACTCACAGCAATAAGAACTGAATGCAATGATTTATTGAAAAACAACAAAAAATAACAAATCCCAAGCTATTCGAGAGGCCTGGTCTCTCCCCCTTGACTCAACCAAAACGTGAATGATAATTCCCAACCCCCCAACTCTCCATTTATAAGCAATCCCTACTTGACTTATTACATTTTTTACCCTACTAACTAACTATTGAACCGCCTAGATTAACAAAGATGTGGCAGCAACCATGTGAATCGGTTTGGCATCTATCACTCGCCGCCTCGTTTCTTCCCAGCGTACCGCAACGAACACCTCACGCTGCGCCGGCAGTGGTTGTTGACTCAAGACTTGGCCCCTCACATCATCCAACTCACGATTTAGTCCGGCCAAAAATTCATGGGCTCTCTCATTCTCTACTTTCTTTTGGTACCGTACACTGTTTGCCGAACAATCCCATTTTTCCTCCAAATTTTGGTCGAGTTCTTGCCAAAAAGAACTCATCTCTAGATAATATTGTGTTACATCCCTCTCTCGTTGCTTTGTTTGCCACAGCCGAGTTTTACTTTCAAAACTTGGAGAAGAATTCTCGGTGTCAGAGTACATATCGTGAACGGCCTCCCACACGTTTTTAGTTGTCGGTAGGAAGAGATAAGTTTTTCCAATTGCTGGGTTCATGGAGTTAATCAACCGCGCAGTCACCGAGTTCTCTGACCTCCATCTTTGCAGAAGAGCGGTGTCGGTTGAGGCAGGTTGTTTCTTTTCTCTGATAAGATATCCTAGTTTACCCTTTCCGTCGATAATGAGCTTAATTGATTTAGCCCATTCTCGATAATTTTTTCCATTCAATCTCTCAACTATGAGTTGGAATGAAGAATTATTTATTCCTCCTAAGCATGGTGGAATGAGATTCCGCCTCGTTGTTTTGAGGCTCGGATGTCATTGTATGGTTGTTGCTTTCTAATTGTTCCGCCATTGACGAGTTTTGGCTAGGTCAGGAAAGGCTCTAATACCATATAGAAATGCAAATAAATATTGAAGAGAATTGTTCATTCTTACATCTCCGTGAGTCCAAATATTTATTACAACCGGGAACCAAAAAGGAAAAATCAAAGAAGGAAAAAATATATACTTTCCTAATCTAAATAAGGTACAACTATAATGATACAATCAAATATAATCTTTCCATATATCTTAGGATTTCTACACTGTTATTGGTAGAAGGCGTGATTCCGTTATTGATAGGAGCTCTAACGCTTTTGAACATAAACGAACTAAAGGGCTTAGTCCGTTGGGTGAACAAGCAATGCAGGTAAGGATTGGATTATAATCGAATTATAAAAATTCTTGAGTTACATAGTGCTGTTGTCTTTGGCACATTAAAGTGAGGGGCTGGTCCTTCATTTAAAAATAAATAAATAAATAAAATAATAATAATAAAAAATGTAAAAAAAAAAAAAGAAAGAAAGTAGAATTAGTGAAGATTATGATGATCAAAGAAAAATATGTTTGGAGGTGTAAGAGGAATAAATCAATGTATGAATGTTTTAAGAAACACATTTCTCAATCTTGTGAATCATATTTCCTTTTTCTGTAAAAATTAACCATGGCAACAAAGATCTGAAGTATTTGCATACTTGTGAATTTCTTAGTGACAGTTGTTGTGGACACAAATTAATTGTAAACTGTCCTGTCCTGTCTCTGATAATATTTTGGCTTCATCATGAACATTTGATGCTTGTTTAACATATAATGAGATATCCAGAGCTAGAGTTCTTAGTCAAGAATGAAAATTCTGGTTGTTTTACATAGTTTCTCCGAAGAGATGTGTGATCATGATACCAAGTGAAGTATGCTTGGTTGAAAATGAATGGTCTATGGATGGCATGGCAGCTTGACATGTTAAACTCACTTCATTTTATATTTTTCCCTTCTAAAAGTTGTTCACCTTTAAGGGTTTGGAGTGGCTTCATTTTTGCACTTTGCGTTCCCCTCGTCTGGCATCTGTTCAGCTGTGAATTATGCTTTTCTCATTCTTCCTAGATATTATCAATAAAACATTGCTGTTTCTGGGTGAAAATTACTCTATTGCAGTTTTTACTGCTTATAAGTGAAACCATTCCAACCAGTTTTTATTACACATTGATATATTTTTAATTTCCTTTTGCTCAGGAGGATTACAAGAGGCTGGAAGTTTGGCTTCTGATTTGAAAGAGTTGGAAGAGCAACTATCAATAGCACATGGGGACAAGGATGTAGCCACTTTGAGATCTGAAAGTTTGGCTTCTGATTTGAAAGAGTTGTCTGACGAGTTGAATGATACAAAGTCAAAATTAAGTACCTTGAAGGAAGAGGTTTCAGCCCTCGTAAGGATTTCTTAGTTATCTTAAATTCACGTGTTCAGTATTCCTTGTGTATGGTTGGAAATACTTGTTTTTCGTAAGACTAGCAGGTTCTGCTGCCTATTTTCTCAACTTTCTCCTATATATTATTTCAGAGTACAACTTTGGACGAATCTGAATTGCAGAGGCAGAAAGTAGAAAGCTCTCTTACCTCTTTGATAGAAGAAAAAGAAGAGTTGTCAATGGTGCTGAAAATGAATAGTGCAGTTTTTCAAATTCCAATAGCTTTCGTGTGGATTCCTGGGTTTTATCCCCTTTTTTTTTGGTTACAGCAACTTGCTGAAGCCCTTTTGACAATGGAGGAGGAGAAGGCGTTATGGTCGTCAAAGGAGAAAGCTACAGTTAAAGCCTTTGAAGAAGAAGCAAAAGCATATCATTTTGAGATTGCCTTGTTATCGAAAGAATTGTCGAAAGTGATCTTCCAAAATTACGTAGATTATTTGTTGAATATTATTTGAAAGTTTATTATTATTATTTTTTAGAATTAAGTTTTTGTACATCCATTTTTGTTCTATAAATGACATTAACATGTGCATGACTTGGCCTCGCCAGACAAGTGTTCTTCGTTCGTTCCCTTTTTATTGTGTTGTAAAAGAATGACGATTGATTTAAAATTTGTTCAATATTGTCGTGTTCATTGAAATATCCATTTCAATATATCCTTTTGATGTTGTCTTATAAAAGAAGACGCACGGTAATGTGACTGATCCAAGAATGTTATTGAGCTAGAGCAATCGTTGACCGTGGATTTTGAACGACTGCAATAACGAGATCATTTATTAATGTTAAATTAAATAATATTAAAAAAGTCCAATCAATATATAAATACACTAAATTTGAAAAATGATATTTTGAATTGTGATTTTTTTTAGAACGTATTGTTAAAAAGTAAGGAAAAACTTTGAAGTGACGTAAAAAATATTTTATCGTGTTAATGTATAGTTAAAAATAAGTATAAGAAATAACGAGTTTCATAAAAAAAGAAGAGTCAAACATTGGTCAAGTCTTGTTTGTCACATTTCTTAAAACTCATTTTCTTAAATTTACTTTCAACATGTTTCATGGAATTCGTAATTTTTATTAACACCATTTTATATTAAAATCTACTAAAAACTTAATTTATATCCATACAAGAGATAAATGTTACTTCATCAAAGGGCTTCCATAAAATCTTCAATAACAATTAATCAAGCTTGTTAAAATAAGATGCATGTCGTATAAGGCGCTCGAGTTGAATAAGTACTAAGTGCTGAATTACTTATTCCATGGTCATGATGAGTGAAAATATGAAAATTCGAAGAATCCACAAATTTGGAGAGTTTTCACAGTGGCCATGTCAAACTTGCCATTATATTCACCACACACGAGCCTAGCTTACTCTTTTTTCACAACAATGACTTTTTCAATTGCAAAAGATAAAAATACCCTTAATAAGGTTATTAAACTACAAAAATATGGTGATATTAAAAAGACAATAATAACCTTTTATTTATAAAACAAAAACGAACACTTCCCCCTTAAAATTTCAAAATCAAGTTACTGTCTTTATAACACATATAACAATTCTTTCATTTTTCTTCTACTTCAACCTTAAAACCTCATAAATTTATCAAACAGCCAAAAAAAAAAAATTTTTTTTTTTCATTTATATCTAAGTATATTTAATTTCGTTTTCTATAAATTAGTGTATTTTTTAATCGTTAAATTTTATTTTAACATCTGCTGATACATAGATAATTTTTTACATTTAGTTTAACATATCTATAATTTTTTAGCAAACAATGAAAAAAATCATCTACACAATCAAATTTAGTATTTTAAGAATCCAGACGGTTGGCCGTCCCATAATGTCCGAGCAAGTTGGCCAAAACGGTTTTTTATTTTTTAAATTTTCGGTACCTCTATTTATTAGTTCCTTATGGTTAATCTATTCTTTTAAATATTTTGATTCGTAATGCACATATATGATCATTATGTCTCTTGATTTGTTATTTTGATGAATTTCAAAGGAATGAAAATGGTCAATGGGATTGGAAATAAATGAGTGAAGGAGAAGGTGTTAATGAGATTATGATAACATCGAGCAAATCATATGTGAAAGTGTACTATGATATATAAAACGAGTTGAACGTCGATTCCTCAGTACAATGTAGAATTGAGATTTCTATTCCACGAGTATTCAACCATTTTTATTCCATAAGTAAAAGTTCCTTCTGAAGTGCAAATGAAGTTGTTAATTAAATTGAACTAAAGCCGCAAGTCGACTCTTTTTTGTATAACTTCAATGAGAAAGAATGTGTCTGAGAATGAACACAAAGATTTCGATAAATTGGATCATAATGTAAATGATTTTTGGAACAAACTGGAAATAGCTCGTGAGGCGACTCGGACCTTTTTGTTTGTTTTTACATCAACCATAGAAAGTAAAATTACATCCCCATATTTTAATTTTCGCTATTTTTGATATACTATGTTCTCGATGGATCTTTCATGTTCCAATTGTATACAATTGAATCTACGTAATTTCAATCATCGATTTTTTATTTTTCATCAACTATTAGAAAGTTACAGTTAAATTTATTTATAATTAAATAAATAATATTTATATTTAAAAAAAATATCACACACTATACTATGATTATATTTATACAAGTTGTACGCTAGCATCATCCTCAAGTATGGATGTCAAGTCTTTGACCAATGGCATATCATGTGCTCGTTAGTGAAGCATTCGAGGTAGTTTGTCTCCTTTCTGATCACCCACTTGCTACCTAAAATGGAGATAGTCTTATATGTCAATATCTGCAATACTTACAATTATTATGTATGTACGTTTAAGAAAGAGTTTAACATTCATTAGATTAAATATTTACCTGTACAGTCGATGGAAAGCCATATGCAACATGCTTACGCTTGGCCTTCTTCGATTTCGATGTCGAATGCACCCTCCCGAAGTTGTATAGTTTATCTGTATAACATCTTCGACCCATGTATAGCTACTAAAGGCATCAATGTCATCAACAATGTCTAATGAAAAAAGGCCAATCGACATCTTACGGAGTTGACACCTTAGTACACTCTCTAGGATAAACATCAATTCCAACTTAAATTTGTCCAATATGTGATCGCATTTCTTGAATGCGTTCTCTAATTGTGGTGGCGTAATAGGTCCTTTATCTTAAAAGTATTCATCAAGCATTCGAGGCAGTTTGTCTCCTTTCTGATCACCCACTTGCTACCTAAAATGGAGATAGTCTTATATGTCAATATCTGCAATACTTACAATTATTATGTATGTACGTTTAAGAAAGAGTTTAACATTCATTAGATTAAATATTTACCTGTACAGCCGATGGAAAGCCATATGCAACATGCTTACGCTTGGCCTTCTTCGATTTTGATGTCGAATGCACCCTCCTGAACTTGTATCTGTATAACATCTTCGACCCATGTATAGCTGCTAAAGGCATCAATGTCATCAGCAATGTTAAATGAAAAAAGGCCAATCGACATCTTACGGAGTTGACACCTTAGTACACTCTCTAGGATAAACATCAATTCCAACTTTAATTTGTCCAACATGTGATCGCATTTCCTGAATGCGTTCTCTAATTGTGGTGGCGTAATAGATCCTTTATCTTAAAAGTATTCATCAAGCAACCTTTTATTTACCGTAATACAGGCCAACTTTACTTCTTTACCAGTACACTTTAAACACGCCATGAGGGCAAATTTAAGGATCGAGAATCTTGACACCTTCCCATCCCCTATGGCAAATTGCAGCTCATTGACTAGCTAAAACAGTCGAAATAATAGTGGGTCGACAATTTGGCTAGAAAACTACATGTCCTTCAATGAATAGAAAGACCATAAGAATGATCAGCGTAATATGGCTGCTTGTGAATAGAAGGACCATAAGAATGATCAACGTAATATGACTGCGTGCTCCTCATTGAGCCCTTAAAACTGTTGCATAGCTGAAAAGGTTATAGTACGACATTACTTTTCCCAGCTGATCTCTCATCCTTCTATTGAGATGTTACTCCATCTTGCAATAATTTCAAACATCAAAATCATATACAAGAGATTATGGAATAAAGCATAATATTTTAAAATTTAACGGACTAGATTATATGCTACTATACGCAATAAAGAAATTCATTTCATCACTTTAAAAAGAAAAACAAAAATGAAGTTAAAGTAAACAGAAAATTGACAACAAAAAATTATTTTAAGTAAAGTAAAATAACAAAAATAAAATTAAAGTAAATTAAAAAAATAATTTAAAAAAGGAAATTGAAAATAAGGAAATTAAATAAAATTAAATAAAAATTAATATAAAAATTAAAGTGAAAAAAATTATAAAAAAAGAACATAATTAAAATTAAGAATTAATGAATAAAAATAAAATTAAACGAAAAAGAAAATTATAAAAAGGAACAAAATCTAAAATGAAAGAAAAATTAATGAATTATAGACAAACAAATAAATGAAAAATTAAGGAAAAAAAAAAAACAAGGGTTATAAAGTTGAAAAAAGAGGAAATTATAGAAAGAAAAAAGGGAAATTATAGTAAAAAAATGAAAATTTAAAAATTTTAAATAAAAATAACTTTGGGCCGTCAATTATGGATGGCCGTGCATCTGTTCCAGAAGGTCCAGTAACTGACCCAAACGTCTAGGCAAGTTTGGCCCGGACATCTGGGTCTTTTGTTTTGAAATGAATTGGCGGAGTACCTAGAAATCGCCATTTTCGGTCTGCTCGGCCACAAAAAATGAATTTCAACTATAAATTAACCATAAAATTAGACTTTTCTTCCATTTTAACCATTAAACTTGTATTAAATTCATAAATGACAAGATTTATTGATATTTCATGTAAAAATCAAATCTCCAAAATGACATTTGTACAAAACAATGAAAAACTAAGATTTAAAACAAAAACTAACATTATCAAGTGTAAAAGATGAAGAAGTTGAACAGTTTGTTCTCGGGATATTCGGTCGCCCCCCAGTTTTTCTCTCTTTTCTCTCCTCTTCAAAGGATATTTTGGCATTTTTTAACGAGATTTTTTACAATTTTACCTTTTTTTTATTTAAAATTTGTCGAAGGCCATTGTGGAAAATAACATGGATCAACCAGCCATCAACCACTATTTCCTCTGGTTCAAATTCACTATGTCAAAAATCATGCGATAGAGAATGCTTTGAATTGCGTGAGTGAAGTTAAATACCAGCTTAAACCAAATAACCAAATGACCTCTCTTTCTCTCTCTTCAACCGCAACACACTAGTAGATGTCACCCATCCTCTCGATGGAAAAGAAGAGAGAGGTAAATCTATATGAAAAAGATTTTTAAAAAAGGGCTGCTGATGATAAGCCCAAATGCCACAAGGAAATCTATTCGTTTGAAAAAAGGTGACAGAAAGGCACTCGATTTGTTAAAAAAAAAGAAAAAAAAGAAAAAAAAAAGAAAATTCTTCGACGAAGTTAGCACGAGCGACTGTCGAGTCTCATGGGGACTACGTTGGTTCTATGCCTCCGTTGTCCCATCACTCATTATGGGCTTCTTTAGACAAATAAGGGATAACGAAAAAAAATTAATTCTTCTATGGCCTTATTTGCTTACCCCGTGCTC